GTTAGAGATGCGTACGTTCAGTGATCCATTGGAGTCATAATGCCCATCAGATGGCAAAGGAGACCCAATTCACCTCGAGGGGAGTCATTACATCAATCAGATTGTATTGGTGACCTTAATGACACTGAGGGGATGGTCACTCTGGGTCTACAACATGATAGGTAATCATCAGTCTGAAAGTCTTATTATGTAACATCAACTGGCCTCAAATTGATGATCTCCTACTGCAGCTGCCCAAGAGCTTATGTTATGGGTGTGTTTCGCCATGAAAGGGGTTATTACAATGGGCAACTTGGGAACTCATGTTCTAGATAATTCATTTTTTAAATCAGCAATATCTTTTAGTATCTCAAAAACAACATTAGTGTACTCCAAAATGGAGCTAGGTAATTTTGAACAGTTCTTGTAGAAAGGTTTTGTCTACAAAAAAACTGATCACCCTGGTTTGAACTATGAGTTACAAAGTGGGGCTTGGAGAATAGTGCTGGATTTAACAACACCCACTATTCTTGCAGGGAAGGAGGAAGTGCTTACTGCCTTGCTCCATATCTAGGGCATCTGCAAACATCTTCTACCACACAGGCTCTAAACTCCCATGTGCAAATTCACAGAGAAAACGAATTAAAATAAAAACAGGGTCTGTTTTTAAACGCTACACAATGAAAGTACAGGAATAAATATAATGAAATATAAAAGTGTATATATCTTTTAAAAAGTAGAGCTGAAATGTGTACAAGTCTTATTTTCCGTCAGGATCAGAGTGTGATGAAAAGTCTATACAGATGCATATAGATATTAATTATGATACATATAATCACACACAGACTTAGCTTTCTGATTCCAGGATTTCACGCTTCCTTGAACCAATGTGGTTTCATCCCTGGCTCTTATAAATTTTATGGGACAGGGTTTGGTATTATCACAATGTTATTATGTTTGTTCTCCTGTACACAGATACGTACACAGAAAAGAGCTGAGTCCTGATTATGGGGATGGAATCCCCTCCTGGGGCAGCTTGATATTTCTTTTAATCCAAAAGTTGTCAGTGTGAAAATTCCTGTTCTGAAAAGAGAAAGGCAGACTCACAGTCAAACAGAAATCCCTACAACACTCATTCGTCTCTCTCTCCTCTCCCTCTTTCTCTCTTCTTCTCTCCCCTTCCCCTTTCTTTCCTCCCTCTCTCTCCTCTCCTATCTATGTCCTCTCTTCTTTCTCTTTCACACCTACACTTGTTCCCCTCCTCTCCTGCTGTCTCTGCTCTGATCTGCACAATTCTTCCTCCCGCATAGATGATGTGTATGTCTCCCTTCTATTCCTTGTGAACACTATCATTGAAGTTCTGTTAGATCTTGTCTTCTTTGTCATAGTCCTAATTGCCCTCCCTCCCTTCTCTTCCTCTCTTTACTCTCCTTCTCATTCCTCTCCTTTTTCTACTCATTATGTGTATCTCTCTCTGTGACTTTAATCTCTCATGGTCCTTTTCTTGTAGTTTGACTTAAAGAAATAAAATACTCAACAGTAGAATTAAGCACAAAGAAGAATCAAGCCAAAAAAAAAAAAAATAGGTCTGTTCAGGGCAATCATTGTGAGCAATAAGTAGGATTGTGCTTATACCTGAGACCACTAATTCCTGTGAGACATTATCCAGAGTACAAATATACTTTGCAGGATGATACACTGCTTTCCCAACACTAGCTCTGCTGAGGAATGCAGACTAATGTGGCATTGACAATGACCGTCTTTGGCAGATTTTGGTGTGGAATATCTTCAACCTCTGTCTCTTGAGGTCACTTCTTGGTGCTTTGTCTTAGAAAACCAACAGTGGTGTCAGCACATCTGTTAACAGCAGCTGCTGTTAGATAGAATGTGCACCTTAAATGGCGGCTTCTATAGCACTCGGTTAAGACCCTCTGGATATTACTATGTTTTTGCAGTGTTCTGAGCCATAGAGGATTTTGTTCTTGTACTGCCCAGGCTTAAATTCTACATACTCACTGTTTATATTTGGGTGCGCACACCACTGCAATTGATTCTGGCAGCATCTTCTGATAACAAAAATGTGTGTGTGCATCCACACTCGACAAAAAGGCTGTCTGGGTTGGATGGGTCTATGGAGACAAAAGAATTCAAGAAATCCCAGTAAGCCCCATGACATACTCAACACAGCAGGTCCCAAGGAGTTTCAACCACTGCCTCCCACAATGACACCTGAAATCAAGCTGGAAACATCTCTAGTCTGCTAGGTGGAGAGGACAAGGAAATGATATCTTTTGGCCACCTCATCTACAAGGTTAAATGAAGCTGAGCTTTAAACAGTTACTCTTAGCTGTTCCCTCACTAGACCTACACTTGTATTCATCCATGCCTAATTATACCTGATGCCTTAAGAGTAACCATTCCAAGGTTTGTGCTTCAGCTTCTAATCTACATCTCCTTCCCTGCTGTCATCAGTACATTCTATTCTGTCTTTACCAAGAGTTCGCAAACTATTTAAAACTTCAGTTCAAGAAACTCTGTGGATCTTCAGTTCCCTGCCTTCCATCCTGACATAAAGAGCTGTGGGATATCTTCCTATGTGAAGAGAAGCCACATATGGTCTTATTTTGTGGTACTGTACCTAGTAATGTTGCATTAACTTATGCCGCTTCCCTCCCTTCCTCCATTGCCAACCAGGTTCAAGCACACCTCAGGCAACTGCATGCCACAAAGGGGTGAACATTGCAGATGTTAAGACAAGCAAGCCAGATGTAAAAACCAAATATCTAACCTCTACATTTCAAGACACAAGCAGTACTGAAATACTGATATCATGAAGGAAGGCAAACTTAGTATATGAATTCTAATGAAATGAGAGAGAGAGATGATTAGAAGAATAAGTTGATCAATCTCATAGGAAGGAAGTTGTAAAGCTGGACCCGGCTCTTGGATGGTTCCTGTTTCCTTCTCTAAGTGTATTATTCACAAAGATGCATACTTACAAGTTAGCTATATTTTAAAATATACATTTGTAAAAGGAAGTAAAAACTGGTAAAATCAACAAAATAAAAAACTTGATCTTGCCAATTCCCCCTTCATGTACATTTGAAGACTCTCTTAACCAGTTCTGCATAGAGTGGACTCATGACTCTTCTATCCTCTAAGATCTACTAGATGATGTCACAACATGACAGTCCTGTGAGACTCCCCCATAGGCATGAATTCAGCACATTTTTTCAAGCCTCTTTCTTTCTGTTTATTACATTTTGGTGCCAAAGTCATCATCCAGAAGTCTTACCTCCAGAATGATAGGATTCCAGTATTCTGACAGTATACTCAGTTATCTGTGGATTAGTTAAACCTTGCAGTCTCTGGTACCATGGCCTGCTTAAAGCTCAAAGGCCAAACTCCTCAATGAACTCCATCTCCAGCATGAGAACTGAATGCCCTTGCAGATGGAGATGGCCCTTGGGTCACATTCTGAATTCTCTCTCTTACTGTCCCGGCTATGTGGCTTCTGGGAACCACATGAGCAGTTCTCCTGAAGCCTTTTGATCTAGAATCCCCCAGTGTGTTCAAGCAGTCCCCATTAGGTCTTGTTAGCTGTCAGAAAGTCACTTCTCCTTCTGTCACACTCACCATTATCAGGTATTCTGAATCTCTGCAAACAAAAGCCTCCAGGGGATTATCTCCTGCCTTCCTGGAGCTTCACAGAACATAATTCCATCTGACATTGTATATAAATAAGCAAATGTGGATTCAACTTTGCATGAAGAAGCTCTTTGGTTGTACACAAAACAAGTACGTCTTCATAAAGGCAAAATCAAATCATGAGAGTGATCTCTCTTGACTCAGTGAAGTACTTCCATGTAGCTCTTTGGTAGATGGTGTCTACAGCATGTTTTCCTACCTCCTAGGGAGGCAAAAATGCACAACCCACTCACAAGGATGTGGACCATTGAAAAACTACACTGATTAAGATGTAAATTAGTAAACCTGAAATTCACAAAGGAATGTGCCTTTGACTAAACACTAGAACACTTGTAAGTGTATGTGCAAAGAGACTGAAGAACTGCAATGTGTTGGCTATGAAAACACAGATCTGGGCTGTGCACTTGGAAGAGCAGCTCGCTATCAGAGAGATCAATTTGCTTACATGGATCCAACCTAAGGTCAGAAGGCCCAGTTCCTCTTGCTTAAAAAATATTTCTTCCTCCTTCTGGGCATAACAATAATCAGGGCCTGCTGTCTGCACAGGAATAATTACATGGGTCACATGGTATTCTTCTTTGACCTGCCCAAGGAAACAACTAGTTACAGTTACTGCCAATCCCACTTCCCATAAATAAGTGAAGCCCTCACCCCAGTGGATGACCCTCATCATTCTCCCTCACCCAAATGATTCCCCAACTTGACTGCTCCTATACTTTGCTGGGATTCCATATAAACGCAGAGATGATAAGGTGAGCATGAGATGTCTCCCATAGCACAACCTAGATCAAGGGATTTGTCTGCAGCTGGCATTAAGTCTGCTCACAGGTCCTGAGGTGTTTAATTTCTATTCTATGCATTACCACAGAGTAGGCAATCACCAGGCCACAGAAAGTTATGAGTGTTCCCTTTTATAATTAGCCAAGGTGCTGTCTCCACTCCTCATTCTCACATTCCTGTCTCCAAGTCAAGCTGCTTTTACTTCAGTGTCTCATTCTGTTTGTGAGCCGAGTTGAACTTTTAGGTGGCCTCCATCTCAGTTTGCCAGTGACTGGGATTACAGGCACCAGCCCTGAGTAGAATGAAAATTTCTAACTATGCCACTGAATGAAAATGTTCAAGTCAAGGACCTCTGAAAAGCAACCTAATACAAAGTCATAAAATTCAAGTTAGCTAATGTCATTTCACACATGGTTCCTTCTGTTGAGGGATATGTATGGATACAGCCCCAAGATATATGCTCTGGGAGTCATGGGCAGCCAAAGGGGAAAAAGAAACAGCCTCAGATCAGGAAGGAGTGTTCATATATTTACCATGGTACCACATAATACACCGCATGTCTCTATGCCTTTCCTGGTGTTCTTCCGTGCACAACGCAGAAACTTATCACAAAGGTCCTTTGGAATGACCACAGTTCGGAGGCCTTTGGAGTTCTGAACTGCAATGGAAAAGAGAGACAAGTCTGAGGTTACAGGACCTGGTGTCCCTGAGCAGAGCTCAGCATGGTGGCCTGGAGGAAAATCACAAAGATATTGGGGTATCTCTCCAGGAGCCCTCTACATATAATAGAAGAACAAAGCAGGCAAGGAGTTTCTTCTCAAAGCTCTGGCCAGAGTTCAATGTGAGCATGGAATTCAATGTTGGCTAGAGTGGATGGACGAACCTATTTCTAGGTGTGACTGAGAGTTGCCTGTAATAAGGTTTTTTGTGGGTTCACAGACTCCGTGGTCAAAGTCCCCTCTAAACTCACGAGGGTAACATGTACCCCTTTGGAAGCTCAATAGGACAAACACACAGAAAAAATGGTACACTTCCAACACGACTCTCCTCAAACAGACATGTCTTCTTTGTCCATGGTTCAGCTCTTCAGGTCTGGTGGCCTCTGCACTCTCAGGTCTGGAGGTACATTTCCCTGAGTCCTCATTTGACTTGAGACTGAGTCTTATAAGAGTGACATTCTTCTCCTATGCCTTTCTGACATAGACTAACCCTACCTACTATCATTCTATATCTTGACTTTGAAGAAAGCTTTTAGAGGGCATGTTATGTCGTGTTGACCAGAAACACAGTCAAATTTTAAGAGTTTGAAATTACATGGAAACATACACAGTCTTTCTCAAGGTCATAGCACCATTGACAGTCCCAAATAGGGCATGTTGTAGCGATGGGGGAGACCTTTGAGAACCTAGAACATCATGTGCACACACAACCAAGAAATGTTGCATTCTAGACTCCAGGGTTGAGTGAAGATGGTGCACTAAACTCAGCAAAGTGTCTGGGACAGGTTTCACAACTCAGCTGAGACCACTCATTCTTTCCTGGTTGTTTCTACATTCCAAAAGGAACAGCATAGCTTACTTCTGCTCCCATGTTATATTATGCAGATGTGTAGACTGCTACATGCACAGGCTTAAGGATCTGTAAGACTGACCCTCTATTCTCATCTGTAAATATGTGGGTTATTGAATACACAGGCCCACAGCTGGGAAAGTCTGACTCTCACCAATTCATAATTAAAAAGGGAAATGTAATTTGCTTGAGGTTGGCATTCAAGTAGAGATTTGACTCATGCCAGCCCAGACAAGAAGCAACCAATAATTTAGAAACTTGTAAAAATCCAGTCCAATAGTGGCATATTTGGATTTTAAGCATTTCCTCGGTGAGAGTCCAGGATTTCAAATGAGGCCTATTTAGGCTGGAAAGCCAATAATACAAATAAAAAATAAAAGTAATAAAGTAATTAGGTGACATATTTGAGAACTTTTTTTACTTCAGTATTCATGATTTCCCCTTTGAATTCAGTCTTATATGAACCATGTGTTTGCACATGTCAATGATATCTGTGCATTTTTCAGAATGTGCATGTTCATGTGTGGGTAATGATTCACAGATATTTGAGCACAACTGTAGATGCAGGCAGACTGACTGTGGTTCAGGCCTTCCCTGGCACTGTTAGTCCAACAGAATCTATCTGTGGTCTGTGTATTCCCAGCTAGCTGTGCTGTGAGAAACAAGGTCTTCTCTGTTTCTCTGTCCCATGTCACCTGAAGACAACTTTGAATATACAGTTGGCCACACATACCCAATTGTCAGATGCTTTGAGGAGATTCCTCCCCAGGTTCTGTGGTTGTCACAGCTAGCACTTCAATCAGTGTCATTACCTTCGTGACATATTTGAGGATTTCCTACAGAGGTCTACCTAATGCTGAAAATGTAATTTCATGCAACACAATTATCTTCTAGGAATACTAATGCACAGCACAGTCCTCACGATGAGCAATATCAGTATTTATTAAAAGTGCTTCCTCTATTCTCTACAGAGCTCTGAAGAGGTGGGGATCTGATTGGAAGAAACTGACCTGGCTTAAACTAAGTTAAAGGCTTCTTTTACAGGAAGTCAGAGTGGCTGGAAGGAAAGAGACAACACTGGTCACTCGAGGTTCTTTTACCACAGCAAAGAGGATCCAGGCAAGACAAAGACTAGGAACATTGCAAGGGGCATGATGCTTTCTCTGTGCTGCTCAGTGCTCCCAACTTCAGACACCACTTAAAAAGTGCAGCGTTACTAGACTGGTGAGGTGCACTCGCAAATGTGTGTGGCTGATCTGGGTGCAATAGGCTCCTTTTAAACATAAGTCTTTAAAGTCATGAACATGTGGTGACTTACCTGGGCTTTCCACCATCTTCAACTCTCCACCCTGTGTGTCTGTTGATGGGCCCCTTGTGATATCTTTCATGGATTCTTGTGGACTGCATGGCACTGACGATGTAATAACAGTGCTTTCTTCAGAGGACACTTTAGCACTTTTAAGTGCCAATGTCAGGCTGGGAACCACCTCCCCGCTCCAGTCTTTCTCGACTCCATCCACCAGCCTATCTAGAAGAGCACACCATTTGGAAAAGTGTGCAGAGTGTTTGATGGTATCTCTTACTTCATGCCAAAAGGCCTTATTTTCAGCCTCTTCTTCTTCTCTTTTTTTCTATAGGAAGAAAAATGGGATTAGTCTAATATTTCAAAAGTCAGAACAAAAGACCTGCCAATAAAGAGATGAACAAAGGAAGTTGTGTTCAGGTATGACAAATCACCACAGCATCTATGCTCCCCCTCCATCACCCTGGTACTATGAAAAACAACCAACACCCCTTTACTCAGTTACTGTAAGGCTTTCTTAAGGGACAATTTGGCCTCCATGTTCTCAGAACCATAATACACTTGGGGTGTATGTATCTGTGACAATGAATATGCATGAATATATGGGTGTGTAAATAGGTACATGGGTACGTGCATGTGTGTGTTGTCCTCTATAGGTATGAGTGCATATGTTTGCAAGTGTGTGTAGACCCTATTCCTTAGATCACAACCTCCGCTGACAGTAAAACACACTCCCAGGTCACAGGCTGATTAAGTGATACAAAAGCATCCTCTCTTCATGCTCACACACTGACCTTATCTGCCAGGTATTCTGAATACTCCTCACTATATTGCTTCAGGAGTTGTTTCTTCAGGGCCTCAACTATGTCAAAGACCCTATGTATTGTCTGCAACACAAAACAGAAAGGGAGAATTAGACCTGATCTAATGTCAGCAAAGGGGGGAAGAAAACAAATGGGAAGGGATTTATGAAACTTTTTTTAAATTTAATATTTTTTCTTATTTTATATATCTATTCCAGTTCCATCTCACTCCTATCATCCCATTCCCCACACAGACCCCTACCCATCCCATCCCCCCTTCCACTCCCCAGAGAGGGTGAGGCCTTCCATGAGGAATCATCAAAGACTGTTAAATCAATTGTGATAGGGTTTAGGCTCCCCACCACCCCGTGTCTCCATACTAAAGAAGTATCATTCCATGGAGAATGGGTTCTAAAAGTCCCTTCCTGCACTGGGGATACAATCTAGTTCCATGAGATGTCAGAATCTTATTTATGACTTGACCCCAATATGCTACCATCCCTTTCTTCTGTATTGTGATGAGAGAGATGTCCTGTTTACCCAGGGACAGGATCTGTGACTTTTCGCTAAGTAGCTCCCTGTGACTCTGGATATTTAGGTCTACCACATACACAAAGAAGAACCACCTTGTTGAATTTGGATCGTGTTCCCTTGGAAAGGGAGTTCCAGTATTCTGGGAAATTTCTCAGTTTCTCCACGAAGAGTCTAAAGCAATAAAGCAGAATGAATATGTGAGCAGAAAAGGTCCAAATTTCTAAATGAGACCCTGAAAAATTTGGTCTCTCTAGGCATGGTTTCAGAAGTTGCTGGAGTGAGAAGAGTTTCACCCTGACATGTTACATCCATATCCATCCCAGTGCCTGGAAAAAGAAAGATCCTAATTCTTCTATCGACTAGTTCATTCCTCAAATATCTGCTATCAAGAAGTAGAGCTAAGCTGATATTGTGTGTGCTTGTCATCCCAGCACTCAGGAGACAGCAGGGAGAGTTAATGAACTCACAGAATATCAAGAAACAGACCATCCTCCTCCTGAACTTCAAAAGAAAAAAGCAGAGTGGGGTCTCATCCTTCCACTACCAAAGGAGAAGGGTGTGTGCTCATAGAGAAGCACAGAGTATTGTTTCTGAGCAGGGCACAACCTCCGCCAGGGAGCATTAGGTAATGACAGGAAACACTGGGAGAACACAGAGCTGCAAGGAGCTGTGCAGTGGATCCTATTGAGAGGAGGCACCCTCAAAGACTGCCAGCCTGCTTCAACACTCCTGTCAGTCCAGGAACCAAGAAAGTTTCTTGAGTGCAGGGGTGGGATTGAAAACTGACTGTGACAAACTGATATTGGGGGGGGGGCAGTGAACACATAAGCACTCTAGTAACAAAGTTATTTCTCTTAGGAAGGTTGAGGAAATGAGAAGGATATTTCCTGTAATCTCAAGAGATTACATTCACGTTTAAGAATACCAAAAGTGGAAAACAAAAAGAAGTCTTGTTCTACAAGTTGCACAATCTGAGAATTATAAAATGTGGTATCTGTGTTCATGTCTAAGTCTGACCTTTCTTTTCCTCTGTGGAACATGATGAAGATATGCCTACTCAGCACAAACAGTCTTCTGAAGATCAATAGATTCAGGCCCACAGAGCTCTTCCCTAGAGCTTGGGCTCCTTACAGTCACCTGCATTCATGTCCTCAGGTTCTCTTTCACCAAACACAGGGCTAGGCAGGACTGGTGAGACCTTTGCCATCTTTCCCTTCCTCAAACACAGAGCATTCATGTCACTTAAGATACATGTAAATATCTGGTGACAGCTCTGCCATCCTGCATTGATTCTGCCTACCCAAGGATGGTGAACAACACAGAAAGTATGCTAAGCCCCTTTGACCCCAGGGAGTACACAGTCCTTTGGTCCCCCTAGCTAC